AAAAAAAAAAAAAAAAAAATGTCACAATCAATATACTATACTTTCAGGCAAAATTTGAACTCCGACTTCACCGATTCAGCGCTTGGATCAGCAGAAAAATCCCCTCTTCCCTATGGGAACTTTCAATTAAGAGATTCTACAGTACAGAGCATTCTCAGGCATCCTAGATATGGGCCAAAAAGTCCTCTGGCTAGCAATTCATACACGTATCTAAAATTTGGTCTCCCAAGGGTTCTTCCTCCAAGCTCCAGAAACCGAGACGGATCTAGCGGTTATGATTCCAGTGAAGAAGGTCGCAGGGTGTCTCACGCGGGAACGTCCGCGCATGGGACTTCTGCTATGAGGTCTGCCAGGAGCGACCCTGACTTTAGACACGTTCACGCTGTTCCTAGAGAACATGCACATTCTCAATTGACTGTTTCGAGGGAGAATCCCAGGTTGAGGAGTGCCAGTGAGGCAAATCTTCTTCACGGAGCTATTCGAACGAATAGAAGGCATAGTATTGCGCCTATAGATCCAGGGTACGGTGTCCACGAGCCAAGAGGTAAGTATTTCTTCTCGTCTACATCTTTTTTAACTTCTAAATTAGTTATTACATAATAGAGATAATAAGAGAGCAAATTGGCTTTTAGGGCATGGAATGCTGGGTCCAGAAAGTTACACATTACCTCTGAGACCTGTTCCCTGTCTCCAACATCCTCATCTTCAGTTACGAGGCGTAGAGGCTTCAGGATCCGATGGTCTGCCTCTTCTGCGAGGGATTACTTTGGAAGCAGGTGCCAACGAGGTGTTGGCCATTATGGCTACTACGGAGAAAGAAGGGAAACAGATCGTGGAAACTATCGCCGGAAGGAAAAGAATTAAGAGAGGAGATATTTTGCTCAATGGGAGATCCGTGTCCTATAGAACTTTAAGGTATACTTACACATTTGTCTGACGACTATCTGAAACCATAAATCGTAAAACTTGGATTCATTTTTCAGATCTCGAGTTGCTTATTTGTCCACGGAGAATAGTTTAAGTCCAGGCTTAACTGCTCAACAGACACTGAGCTTTTATATGCTTCTTAGAGGAGGTCCGAACACGTCCAAATTGGAAGCCGATGCAATTCTCCAGGAACTCGGCCTGGAAGCAACAAAACACTGTCTTGTGAATTCGTTGACGACTTCTGAAGCAAGAAGACTCGCCCTGGCGTGTCGTTTGTTACAAGATTCGCATATCCTTGCCCTAGACAGGCCAACGCACGGCTTGGACATTTTCGACGCGTTCTTCTTGGTGGAATACTTGAGACAGTGGGCCAGTAGAGGTCAACGATTAGTAGTATTGACTTTGCATCCACCTACTTACGAGATACTAACGATGGTCTCTAGGGTGGCGCTCACTTCCGGCGGAAGAATCATGTACTCTGGCCCTAGGAGGGATATGTTGCCATACTTCGCCCTTGCAGAATTCCCGTGTCCTCCATTTAAGAATCCTTCTGACTACTATCGTATGTGATTCTGATACTAACATACTATTATCCACACTATTGTCCATATTATTGTCCACATGATTATTCTCTGAAATTTATAATATTTTCTTTTTCTTCAGTTGATTTAGTTACGCTGGATGATCTGTCTGCGGAAGCCATGTTGGAATCCTCACAGAGGATAGATCACTTAGCCGAGCTTGCAAGGACCAGGTTACCAGCATTAAGCGATCCTGGACCACCTGGAACACTCCCTCCTTCCATTTCCAGTCCCAACATATTCTCACAGATCTACGCGTTACTTCTTAGGACTTTAATCTACAGTCAACCGTGGACGTTGACCAGATTACTTAGGAAAATCGTCATCTCTGCCTCCTTGAGTATTTTACTTGGTGCAATATTTTGGGATGTAGCTGGCGACTCGAATTTACACCTCAGAGACCGAATCGGCTTTCATTACGCTATCTTAGGAATTTTCTTCTGGCCGCTGACCCTGATAGCCATCTGCGAAGTAGCTGACAGCAGACTGAACGTGGAAAGAGATATCAAAGATGGTTTATATGGGAGATTTGTATATATTTTACTGGAGGTGAGTATTCAAAGCAATGCGTGATCGTTCGTTTCACTAAAATGGATTTACCTTTCAGCTCCTTTGTGGAATAATATCTTGGTGCATAGTCTATCTGATTTATTTGGCACCGAGCTACGCCATGTCGGGACTTCACTTGGTGCCAGACGAGAATCTGACTTCCTTGTGGAATTATCTCGGAATCGGTTTACTGTATTTAATATTGCAACATTTAATCTGCGTACTGTTTGCTCACACTTGCAAATGGACATATTTGGCTTCTCTGTTTGCCGGCATTGTGATTGGGGAAATGACATTGGCTGGAGGGGTGACCTTGCACTTGGAGAACTTGCCAGGCTGGTATCAGAAGATCAGCCCGATGCAGTGGTCTCTGTCTTTGTTGTTACCTCCGCTTCATCAAACAGAGGTCATGAATAAATTGACCAATTGCAAGCCAAAACAAATACAAAGGCAAGACATCATAGTTCAAGCTGCCTGTGAACCACCTGATGGTGCTCTGGCATTGTACGAGATTGCACTGCACAAGTTCAATGTAAGAGGAGAACTGTGGCTGGGTATAGGAATAACTATTGTCAGTGTTCTGATTATACTAGTATTCCTGTGCATTCGATACACTACTCCCAAGAGACTCAGGAGTGCACCGAACAAACCATGAGGTGCAACAATTAACGACTGAATAAACATCACTCTTAAATCATAAAAACTACACGCGATATCTCTGTATTTTATTAATGTTAACTAACAGAATATTCTTTTGCAATATTATCAGTACAATAATAGATATCGATAAGGAGTATATAAGGAATTATTCACTTCATTGTCAAATATATTTTATGTCGTGTCACGCTCGCGGGTTTTGATTTTTGTCTGTGTTATTGCGACTTTTTAAAACAACAGGATTTAGAAACTCGCAAGATAGACTTGAACAACGAAGTTCCAAAGCCTGACGGGCCGATACACCTTGCAGTTTCTCTCCTTCAAATGCTTTAAAATAATCTGTACTTTGTATTTGCTTTGAAATAATCAAACCAACCGACAAAATCTAAAATAAAACACAAATGAATTGCAATTCTGTTCTTCGCTGATCCTTTCTGTTAGTTGAATTTCAGTTTTACACTTCTCCTTTTTTAAGATTTGTGAATATTTGAATTGAAAATTATTGATCAATATGGAGAATAAGCTCGGTCGGTTGTTGCATGAAACTTGATTACAAGCTCCATCTACAACTCTAAGAATATCGGCGAAGTCCGATCGGTAAGTATAATTTTTTATTTAACCAGAGTCCATAAAAAAAAAAAATTATTTTCAAAACTCACGGAAATCGTTAATCCCAGTTCGTTTTTCCCAGTGTTATTTCCAGATAATCGTCGAATAATTCACCAACAAAAATATCTTAGAAATCGATGAACTGTCTTCTTTTAGACCAAATTTTGAGTCTAAAAGCGATTCTCCAAATTTATTATCAATAAACGCTTAGACACCTGAGGTCGATATTCCGCGCAGGACGAATATATCTGCTAGCAAATAGCGTAATGCATATTCCAAACTCGATCTCGAGAAGAAAATAGACATTTGTTAATCAGTCGACTCCGAATGATGTTATCGAACCAGTCATTTAATCGTATCTTTTCTCATTGATTATTTTCCATTCAGCTTTAATTCTTATCGCGATGATTATACTATTTTCTTATCAAAGTCAATAAAGATATCTCAAGTATCGTAAATGTTTGACTGCGTAATCGACCTCGCGAATTGTCAAAGCGGAGGAGGCGGGTGATGTTTATCTTTGAACACCAGATATGCATTGTATCGTAGTTCTGTCTCCGCGTTAATTCAAGAATTTCTGCCACAAATTCTCCGTCTCAAGCAAACTCTCATAAATTTGCAATACTCGTACGGTCGTGTAGATTTCTATCAATTAAAATACCCTTTGTTTTTCTGCTTCTTATGATATTCTGTCGACGCATTCCGAGCACCCTGTGCAAGTTTCGAGGGCCGCTGGTTCGTTCATCGAATTAGTACAAATTGGCAGCAGGGCAATCGTCGTAAATGCCGACTTCCGTCGATGAAAGTAATTAACTGGTGGTGGCAAGTCGAGTGAGCAGAATTCCTGGAAAAAGCGTGAGTTCGTTAGGCGAAGACCGCAGGAGAACAGAATCACGTTCTTGTTTCGCGAGCGTTAAACTTCAGCGTGGCGTCGTTACACCTCAAAATCAATGAACCACTTCTCTGTCTCGCGCTCTACGTGCGTGCATCGGACCTTGATTCATTGAGGCTACGACCATACTATGTGCATTCATTTTTTCCTACTCTTGTGACATTGAATTATCCACAGTCATTCATGACGATTGCGCGAAATCATGATGTGGCACGTCTGAAAATTAATTTCGTTTTAACAAACTGCTTAATTGCTCGTCTCTAACAAATTTCTAACTCCGAACGAAATAAATAGAATTTCAAATACGAGCGAATATTTCGGAAGAAGAATGCTCAGATATTTTATCTTTTTTTGAGGATTCTGATAATGATATGATATGATATAATATATTGTAATAAATAAATAAATAGATGCAAATTGAGGAAAATTAGCTTCTTACTGATTCTGGATATGAGTCATCAAGCCTCCGGATACGGTCTTCTCTGAGATTGTGTTCTAAAGAATGAAACGAACTGCATATTTGCTGCAAAAATGGAAATTAAATTGCTGTCGCATATATTATAATGGACGATTCCATGTACGAGCCATCGTTCCAATTCTTGGCAAGGTCTTTCTACTGGCAGGGAAAATAAAACCAGCACAGGATTAATAACGAGAACCTGTGGGCCGCGTGGGCGCGAATGTATAAAGCTCTTTTCGCTTTCTCCCTCCTGATCCCGTTCGCCTCTTCATTGATTATTTTACTTCACCACCTACCAACGTATGCGGCGCATTCTATATTAGCACGTTACTTCTACATAACAAGCCACCATACGCGGGGACATGTATTCTTGAATCCTCTAACAAGAACCGCTAATTAAACTTTCCCGCTTGTTATCCCCGCCTTA